TCATAGTAGCACAAGAAGGTTTTATCTTTCCCAGGTAACTCGTCTACTTATCTCCTTCCAAATCTTGCTAAATGCCTGACATCCACTCTTGTGACACTAAGCATCCTGCAGATGCTCTTAAAAAAAGTTAAGGGCCAAATAGTTGCTTTTGGGGGGTTGTTTTTAATGCACAGCACTCACACTTCTGGTAGTTTGACTGAAAATTTATCAGAATGCCCCCTGTCTTTGCTTGTTTTCTTACTGTGGATGAAAAAAGATCATATATTTTCATTGTAAAAGGTGATCTAAGGTAAATGCTTCATTTTACTTCAAACTGGGATAGGATTTTTGTAGTTTTTCTGCACAATCATTTACTCTAAGTTCAGGTATTTTTTCCCTGTAGAAAACAGACATTTTCCCCGTAGAAACACAAATATTATGAGACAGAAAAGTTTGAGATGCTTACAGCTGCTATCTCTGTGAACAATGGCTTATCCTCAACGTGCTGATGAATTCTTTTATCTACTTTTACCCTTTGGACACAAACAGTCAGTGTAACCCTGAAGATCAGTGATTTTCTAAGTATCTCATTATTTTTGTAACAGTACCTGTTTGGAGAGATCTCATTTGGATTCCTGTGACCTGTAGCATCTGACATGATCCCATTTCCTCAAGCTGCTCCACAATGCACATTTTATGGAGGCACTTCTGTAGAGATATAAACGTGTGTGCAACAAGCTGAGTCCCACATTTTGTAATATAACCCTAAACCTAATTCCAGGGTGAATTTTTGTTAAAAATTAAACAACAACCCAAAATCCCCCAAGTAAATAACACCTGCCACCCACTCGCCCCCCACAAAAAAACCAAAACCAAAAACCCAACAACTCAAAACCTGCCCCTGTCCAGATAAGTTTAGTTTTGCAGCCCATACTTTCCTTTGTTAGCCCTTTCCAGCCCCACTTCAGCTCCAGGTCCAGGCTTACCTTCTCTCTTAATCTTAAACCTAAGCCTGGTTTGAGGGTGAGCCCTACAAATGCTCTGATGGGCTTTGCCCAGATAAAAAATGCCTCAGTCAGTTATCTTAGCATGCTAAGGGGAATATGGTCATCCTTTTCTGAGACTTTTAAACTGACTGAGCATTTACATTCAGAATAGCAATTCTGCTTTCACTACTACTAACTTTTCCTTAGTATTAGAATAAAAAATACCTTTTGACTACAGTTCATTCCCTCTGCACACAAACTGGCACTCACATGTTCTGATTTATACTTCATTTAACTCTTTCCAAGCTTTTATTATTTTAACAGATTCTGAATTCAGCCTTTGGCTGTGAAGGCAATAAAGGGTGAAGAGGTAACTGTCATTACTGATGTTTTATTGCAGGGATACCATTCTGCAAAAGGCGAGGTTTCTGCACCTGTTGCACCTAAGGCCTCTGGAGCTGTGCTTTTCATTGCTGTGTGATGTGGGGAAGTGGCAGCTTTGTGAGAAAAACCACAGCTTTCATCTCTACACATCTTAAAGGCTCAATGAAAAAGCCACTATCTCTTTCTGGACTGCTGGCTACAGGGAGTTTCCATCATTGAATCAAAAAAATTACAACAAACTGGGGTGGGAGGGCTGAATATAAATTTGCTTTTGGAAGTGCCATTCTTGGCACTTATGTGTAGCAGGCCACCTTTAGTATCCAAGGAGTATAAAGCAAAATTTTGGACAGTTTGGACTTTCTGGAGAGAAAATGCTTTTGAAAAATTGTCTTTAGTTTTGAGTTTCATTGTTGTGAGCTGTTGTCTGCTCTGTTGGTGACCTTGAGTGGTTAAAATTTAAAAAATACAACTCTGACTACACAACTAAGAAGTAATTTGCTTTGTTAATATGAATTTTTAAAAATCTGCTCTCTCTTTTTTTTTCCTAATATATTTTACACAGGGTAAAGTCATAGCCTTTTAATAATAGTTTGTTAAAAAAATCTTCTTTTTTTGACACAATTTCTATTAACATATTTCTTTGGTTTTGAATTATGGCAAGGACAGGAGCCACAAAAAAGTGACGCAGGTAGAGAATAAAGTTACACATGCTTGGAAATCCAGATGAAACAGGGGATATGTCAATACCATATTTTGTGTGTGAACACCCTCCAACAGTCTCCCCAGTGTTGTGTTTCCAGAACTGAAAAAAGTTTGAAATGCAGTAAAAAACGCAGCAAATATTTGAAGTTTCTTCCCCTTGGCCCAGATTATGAAATAGTAATCCATTACATTGTAAATCTTCCTGTACCATGCAAATCCCTTTACAAGGATTAGGAGATTGTAACAAAGATGGTCATATTTCAATAGGTACCGGTGTAAATTACATATTTCTGCTGCAGATTTCATACAGTGCTCACCCAACACGTTACATACAGTGACCCACACAAACAGGTGCTTTACATTTATTGAGAACCTTCATTCCAGAACAATCCAAAAGAAGGCACATTCAGCCTGTGCTCTCTGAGGGCACTCCACAATAGCTGCGGGTGAGCAATGGAGCAGAGACTGTGCAATCAGTGACCCCCTGGCCCTCGGGGGCGGCCGGGGGAGAGCAGAATCTCACTCAAACACAAAGAAACTGCTGTTTCTGCTTTTGCTGCCATCAGCCTGGCTGCTGCTGGCAGAGCAGCGCCTGTTCAGTCTATTTCTGCTCCTAACTGCTTGGGCAAGAGCAGAGGGAAACTGTGTTTTATCATGCTGCATCACTTCTGTTTCTTTCAGGGGATCAGATCCTACTTGGGGGGCATAAGGCAGGAGCATCTGACTACTAGATTTCCTCTGTAAACTAAGGGAATGCAGCACTTTGCACTAATTCTAATTCATTGGGTAGCACTGAATTGCTGCGTAGGGAAGAGAATTCCTTGAGAAGCACTTAGTCCACATCACTAAGTAGTGTGTGCAAAATTGGTGGTATCTTCTCATACCTGTAGAAATCTGAATGGATATAGGATTTTTAAAAAGTGCAGGATGAAATTTGTGAAGGAGTTTGACCGAGTTGCTCTTAGACCCTTCTTCAAATTTGGCATTCTGGTCTTATTTAAAACCAGTTTCCAAATTTAGGTTTTTCATGTCCCTCTGGATTTGCCTATAACTAAGCAAGCCTAATTTGTTTAATTAGTACCATACTTACAAGTCTTTGTTAGCTTTGTAGCTCCTGGCTGTGCCTCAGGACAGGGCTGGCCCTTCTGGTTGTGCTGATGTCCCCGGGACAGGGCTG